TTTTCTCATTTCTGTTAATCTAAATTCAAGTATGGGGGTGTGCGATAGACTTACCTCCACGTGGTGCACCCTGGGCAACGTATACTCATACGGCAAAAAAGTCTATTAACTGGCAGTTGACATCTCACTTCAAACTACCACCCCCTCACTCTATGCCATATTCGACTATTTCACAGTACTCACCTCACCTTTTTTCAACCTTTGTGTTTGTCTCTTATATCTTTGAAACACTCTTATGTTCCCCCCTCCATCTCGACTTTTTTCAATTTGATGTTTCTTCTCCTCTATGAAGTCTGAAGTCAACTAAAGGGCTAATGATAACCATCAAGACGCCTGCCATTTGATATAAATAAATAAATTCAAGTATTCTTCCCCAAAATCTCACTTTGTATTAAATTCATAATATCAATAAAAGTATTCAATAACATGCAAAGACATACTTTCGATTTGTTCGTATAGTCCTCTGCTCTATACTCTCCTTCAGAGGTTCCAAATCAATAACCGTGGCAGTATCAGTGATAAGGTCATGGAAGGAGAAGCGAGTCTCTTGAGCTGTAATGAACTGTTCCAATCCGGGTACATTGCGATCTTCCATAGAATCCTTCTTTTGCGCCTTCCCAGTCAGAATAGTAGAGAAATCGGCCACGGCCATTGCGGCTTCAGCTCTGGAGCGAAGATATTCAAGTTCTTCCAATTCTTCGTCCCTTGCCTCAGTCTGCTGCTGGTCTTCCAATGCCTTTTTACCCTCCAATAGGCCTGTTAGACAGTCAAATATCCCCTTTGTTTTGAGTTGAACATTACCCTTTACAACTACACGAATGCAGAGGCCGTTATAAAGGAGAACTCGTAGAAGGTCGTAACCACTCAGTCGATATCTAGATGTGCCAAATGTTAGAACCTATTAATAAAAAAATACTTTTGTTCTTTTTTGGTAATTAGGTAACAACTACGTGCATAATGTGCGAAAAGCTTATTGAGAAGTCCCAAACTAGGTCCAGTTTCTTTCACACAATCACCTTTTGAACCATCAAGTAAAATGTGGAGAGCACACTCAATTTCGTGGTTCGAAAATGGGTCAAACAAGATATTAGGCGAGGTCAAGTGGATTGTTTTATAATAGGTGAGGAACGCAAGTATGTCAATTCCACTTTCACAAACTGCAAAATGATCAAATTCCAAGCGAACTTAATTCTACAAGGCAAGATCAATGGTACGTAGTGCTAAGAAAAGCTCGTGGAAAAGAAAAGGATGTTCTTAAATTGCATTATCACCTTATCAACTGTATAATGACATGTGATTGTGCCTTCTAACGCTAAATTCAGTGCTAATAGGTCACGTGCGAAGTGACTGAATTCCCGTATCAGGATCGTCCGATAACAAGCCCCGAAACACCTAAAGTTGAAAGTCTACAGAATATACAAAAATGTGGATGTGTTTTAAGGGGCATGTTTGTCATAACTTTGACACAGCGCTAATTAGGAGAAGAAAGATGCATAGGAAAAAAAAACAGGAGATTTATACCCGAAACGGGTTATAAGAGCCACAGAGGCGTGAGATTGCTGCAAACATAACACGATTGAAGCGTTACTCAATAAATCCATTCCCCCTTCTTAGTGCACTGTATTTCTACTTTTTGTTCCACCACACGGATCGAAGACCACATGACCTACAACCCCAAACTCCACAAGCCAGCATTCTTCCCCCTTCCTTCCCATTTTACGACTCAGAGAGTATGCTCGACCGACTAAGGCATTGAAAAAAAAAACATTTAAAATGAAAAACAACAGAACACTTGTTCAAAAAGTTGTCAACCTACTGGTGCCTTGGTTGATTGGGTTTCCGCCTGAAGTTTGATTAGTCGTTGATAGGCTGAGTTCGCCACTGCAGAACAGCGTCTGGAGAGACTGGCTGAGCTCTAGAGTTAATATAAACAATAATGAGTCATATATTTAAACAAAAAAATTTCATTAAAATTTTGATCTTAGGTAACTTGGTGATTTGCCTAATATTTACCGGAATATATTATAAATTGAATTCTAATAAACTAAAAAGGATTTATTTGAAAACAATACTAACACGTTCTTTTTCTAATCCATTGCTCAGTCCAAACTGAGATAGGTTTTACTTTCCCATGATGGAACCCATAGCTACGTGGATATTTTTAATCAACGACTGGCAGTAAGGCTTGATTGTCAGTCTTACTTTTGGAAAATATTTATAGCAAAATAAACTTACTGTATTTTTTAGTTAAAACATTACCTGGTGCACACCCTTATAGCTATAACTGAGAGGCACAAGTTCTGTAGAGAAGTCAAATGTGACAAAACCCTTGAAATCCTGACAACACCCCCTGCACCTACTCATTCACCTCTGCTTGGAATTATTTTGTGCTTATCCACAATTAAAATTTGCATTGAAGCGAATTTTTAAGCAAAAAAATAAAAACAATTTTTTTTTTCTAAAATATGTCAAATAGACCAAGGACATTTGCTGTGCCTGTTTGTGAGGGGGGGAGTGATGAATGGACTGTAGGAAAGGAGCCATTTTTGTACTCACCACCCATAAAAGTGATAAGTTGAAAATGAATTTTTTTACTCCTAGGTTAAATGGAGACTTTTGGAGTTAACTAAAATTGTGATTTATTACTTCCTTCAGTGAATTTGGCGCTTCACTATTCAATTAAATTTATGAACAGGAAGAAAACTATTATTCAAATAATTTTGTATGTATCTATAAAAATGGCAGAGTTTGGAATCTGTACATGTCTTTGCGAAAATTTAACTGAGTCCATATCCTTCTTTAAAAGGGGTGCGCGATAGACTTACCTCCATGTGGTGCACCATCATCCCACTCTATGTCATATTCCACCACTTTCACAGTACTCACCTCACCTGTTTTCCACCTTTGTGTCTGTCTCTTACATCTTTGAAACACTCTTCTGTTCCCGCCCCCCCCCTCTCGAATTTTTTTTACTTTGATGTTCCTTCCTCTCTGTGAAGCCCGAAGTCAACTAAAGGGCTATTGATAACTAACAAAACGCCTGCCATTTGATATAAATAAATAAATAACTTCCTTAAGATAGCATTAGCTAAAAAATACCTCACACTGAAGCTATAGTTTTCTAATATACTGATATGTGCGAATCTCGCTTTGCCATTAAAGACTTAATAATAAATAAATAAGTTTCACACATGCATTTAGCATCTTCAAAACCCTCAATTAACAGTGACCGACCAAAAAGCCAAATAGGATCGAAAACAGAGAGCCTTCCTTGCACATACCCAGTCTTCAAAATATCTACTTGTGCCAAATTTCTAGAACAAACGATCCAGTAGTATACTGAATGGATATGGTGACTAGTAGCCCACCTGAATGAGAGGAATGAATCCGACTGCAAGTTTTTCCTCCAAGTAAGAGATTAGCTTTGTGGCTGGCACGCAGTCAATGGAGAGTTGTAGTTGTGTGGGATCTGCGCGAAGACAAGGCACGAGAACTCCAGGTGGAGCTACACTCAGAGCTTCCATGCGCGACATTAAGTGAGCCACTCTGGAGGAGGGGATTCGTGATGCCTCGTTGGAGCAAACCATTGCAAAACTAGGATAATAAAGTATGACATAAAATGCTCTGATGGTATTTCCTCGGAATGATGAATGGCATTTTAAAGTGTTTAGGCAAATTGAAATTTGCTCACATCAGTGACCCCGATATGTTCTTATAAGACACAGAGAAGTGTGGGCTATGGACAGACTTCGTGCGTAAATATGGCTGGAAATCAGTCGATTCAATTTGTTCTCATAGACCTACATTACTCCAAGTCAGTTAACTTTCTCCTCCTGAATGTTGTTAAGATTACCTTTATCCGAGATCTATTGAACTCCTATATGGTTAAGCATGGAATATCACGGGTATAACCGCAACGTTTAGAGTCAAATTATAAACGTTTTTGCCACAAATTCTTACTTCTGCCTAGTATAGGAAGCGGGAATGTCGACTTGAAAGAATTTAATATAATCTTCGGCAAGCGTAATCTAATGCTAATCTAGCAATACCCTTATCTCCTAATACAATTGGTTCCATTTATGAATGAAATGTAAAAACACCTGATTCATTCATTCATTAAAATTTAAATCCACAAAAGCTGCCACCGTCCCTGACAGTCCCTCTGAATTACGCTCCAATTGCACACATGCTACATTATCGATGATTTGATGTAGGGTGTGTGATAGACTTACCTCCACGTGGTGCACCCTGGGCAACGTATACTCTTACGGCAAAAAAGTCTATAAACCGGTAGTTGACTTCAAACTATCATCACCCTTACTGTATGTCATATTCGACTACTTCCACAGTACTCATCCCACTTTTTCACCTTATCTACCTTCGTCATATTCGACTACTTTCTCAGTACTCATCCCACCCTTTTTCCACCTTATCTACCTTCGTCTTTACTCATCCTACCTTTTTTCCACCTTATCTACCTTCGTCTTTGATACACTTACCTTCCCCTCTGTGAAGACTGAAGTCAACTAAAGGGCTAAAAATCAAAGCGCCTGCCATTTGATATAATAATAAAAATGATAAACGCCTACCATTTGAAATAAATAAATATATATATATATATTTTGAAATTATAATAATAATTTTTTTATTGTAATATTACTTTGAATTTTGCTGAGAAGGAACAAAACTCCTGAATTGGACAAATAACTTTCCAAGTATGCCCTTCATCTTTAAGGGCAGTGAAGAGTTGGGCGGAATCTAAATTTAAATTCAATTTACTTTAGAATAAAAGTGAAATCACCTGATAAGACAGGTGAATACAACCTCACATGTAAAAAATGAACCTATATAAATCTCGAATTTTTATAAGGAAATGCTGATTATTGATACATTGATAATATAAGTTAGACAGCATTTCGTAAATAAATTGAATTAGCACAAAAGCCATCCAAACGTCTCAAGAGATAGAACCCAATTTTGATGACCAAATAGACTTCAACATGTACCTGGAGTATCTCCCTGATATTGCTATTGTTAAATATTTAATTTTTTCTGACAATGAGAATTAATAATCGCGAACACACACTCACCGGCCAAGTTGATAGGTATTAACTTGCAGACATCGTGGTGTGAAAGGCCCAGTCACGGGTATATCCTTCCATGGGGCACCTTTCAAGCCCAGTAACAGATGAATCCATCCATTTTTGGAGTTCATGTTGTCTCCACGTAGCATAGGCGTGATTACCACATCACGATAGGGTCCCGTTTTGTTCTGTCGTTTTGTGCTCATGTTATCACTGTTGGTATCCCCGCTACATGCTCTCCATACTAAATGGCGTTTCATAAAGGGTCGCTATGACAAAAATAGTGATGAGTCATGATCTTGCTATGGAGGTGGGGGAGGGGGAGGGGGCGAGAGGCTCTACTGCACATTAAAATTGAGGTAATGATGTTGATCACACTGTAAATCGCAATATTATCTAGTGGTTTCCATTTTGATTCATATAAGCGCGTTTTAAAGATATAGACTAATGTCTAATGGCGATTGAAACTAGTTATCAACAACGAGCCTATTCATCTGTCTTTAGCGCAGTAGAAATTAAGTATTTTCATTTAATTCCTCATCCTTAATCACGTAAATGGTAAATGAAAATTCTGTGGTTAAAGAGTGATGTCGTCGTGATGCATCAAGTAAATCCAAGTGGCCAAACAAACTTTGAATGGGACATAATTCGAACGAAGTGCTATAGAAGGGTTCTAGTACCTTTGTCCTCTCTTTTCCTCAATTGCTACTTTGGAAATACCTCAAAGTTGTTCGCTTCGAGTTATGATACTCACACAAATAAGATGGAATATATTCATTTACCCTCCAAAACCTAACTTCTTATAGAACAATTAAAATTAGCCATCAAACTAATAACCATCAATGAACCACTGTAGAAAATATGAATGACCACAGTCAAGTTAATAAAATTATTAAATAATAGGGTCTAATGCTCATAGTTGTATAAATTAAAACCCCAAGCCGCGTGATTGACTTCAAGCATAAAATGAATTATCTACGAATTTTTGTTGCTACTATCAAAAGTAAAGTAGGCAGTATTTCTAAGAAAGCTTAGATATATAGCGAAGTTTATAGTAGGATATCGCAATAACGTAATATCACGGCTTTTGACAAGTGGTTTGCTGTGCAATAACCCAACGGTTGAAAGCTTCAAATTTGCATCAACTCTGAATGCTTACAGTGAATTTAAGTACACTTATTCACACTTATCGATATTTGCATTCAAAAACTGAAGATTTCTCAACAAAGCACTAACTTTATCGAATTTTCACAATGTTTTAAGAAATTTAAATATGCATAAGCAGATGACAATGTGTGAAAGGTTACGATATCTGCTTCCTTCTCCTGGCATATTATTTATTCAATTCAGTTTACAAAAGACATTCATCTGAACTGCATTGACGTATATTAACACATGACTCAAGTGCAATAGATAAAACCTGTGAATAAAGCCACTATTTATTGGAAAGAAACAGTTTTTGCCACAAACCTGGTAAAGAAGAACGAGGTTTTTCGGTCTCTCCTCGAAAGGCGTTTCTTGGTTCAGGTTCATCTGAGTACTTTCCTTCCTATTTTCTATATCTACAGCCTTCGAAATGCGATCATGAAATTGACTCGTAGTGAGGCTCATATTTCCCGTCTGGAGTTCACTCTCTTCTGCCTGCTCAACACCTCCCACACCCGTTGACTGTTGAGAGACCTGACGTCCTTCCATCATTTTCGTGTACCATTGTGGAAGGGGAAGAGTAAGCGTTACAGGTCTTTCAAAGGGTTTATTTCCAAGATCCAATTCATAGATATTCGAGCACTCATTAATGTCTGTCAACTGATTGTCAAAATGTTGAATTGATTCCATAAGATCCTTCCGCACCTGAACTGCCTTAAAGGTTGACGTCAGAGTCTCCTTAAGAGCTAATTTTGGAACTCGAGCACTAAAAAAGGGATGGAGTATCGGTGATCTAAGTAATCCTCCATCTTTACCAAAGGCGACTGTTTCTGAGGGTGTTCCGATTACAATTACTAGAAAGTGGTTCAAATCATTTACGCTGAAACTAACTCCTCCACTGAAGGCGGCAGACTTTTTTGTAACTTCAAGGCTCGATACTCCATCTCGAGCTAAACGCATCACTTGTTCAATGTCGTTAGATGTGGAGTTCCGCCTGTGCGTTCGTTTTTTAGCGCTTGAACTCTTGATAACAGGGGATGAGGCAGAAGTTGGGTTAGATTTAAATCGAGCGTCTTCACTAAATCGACCAGCCTGATAAGCTTTTTCTCTCATGTTATTGGGCCATTCACTGTAATGAATCGTTGGTTGAATTATCTGAAAATTAAAAACAGCGTTTTATCTATAACGCTTCCACTCCAATGAACCATTTCTTCAATAAATCGCTGCGACAACACAATTTAATTCTGAATTTGAAGGATATTCTAATCACAGTAGAGAAATTGGCATGTTCGTTAGATGAGTTCAGTTAAACGAATCGGTGTATTCCTAAAGGTGGCTGATACTTATCACCAAGTACAACGATGTTTAACTTCAGGAATATTTTCAACTGCTTCCTGCTTGTACTCAGCATACAAGGTAGGAATTGTGATAACGTCACCAGTTTCATAACTGAGCTGCCAACAACGCATTGTGATTATAAAAGACCATTTAAAATCGTTTGAATGCTTCCAGTAGTACACCTTTACACATTTCATTTCCCCATTCACCGAACTTAAGTGGGGCCACATGTTTTGATTCAATTGTGCAATCACTAAGCTCCCCTAATTCGACGGATCTTTCCCTACCCTCTTCGTTTTATACCCCACGTTATTGCTCTTGTGTTATTTGCAATTAGGTAAATACCATGTCTATGCTTAATTTTGAACTTTTCTATCATTCTGCCCAACTGAGTTCTAATGGTGTAGCCAAGGCGATGGTTAGCAAGTCCTCGAAAGCTTTTGCATATTACTAAAACATTTCGGAGGGGGAGGGGGAATTTACAGTAGATAAAATGAGAAAATACCTCAACACCCTTCTTGATAGTCCAGAAATCATCCCCAATTTTTGATTGAAGAACGTAGACACAACGAGTATCGAGCAGGGGTACACCAACGTTGGTGTAATTGACAGATTTGCGTTCCAGGTTGCCCCTCCTCCTCTCCCTCTTCTGCTTATCGATTTCCTCTAAATCAAAGTGACTGAAGTATCATCACGAAAAATCGCAAAAAAAACAATTCAACTGGGTATTTCGACCTCTTCTCTGTTGTTGTGTGTCAAATTAGGGAAGAAATATTATATTGGTCCACCATTTTTGGGCTTATCACGTGAATGCTTCACCGACAGTAAATGTACTTTTATGCAATCATGTGATTTTGTATTATATCTAGGACATGCCTCCAGGGTTCTATTTAAAATTACTCTGGCATAAATAGAGCAAAAAAAACAATTACGGACCTAAGAAGGCTCCTTCCACCACTGAGGATTGTCGGCAGGAAAATGTTAGTTTAAGTAAACTTGACTTCGTATTAATGCCTTGAGATTTATTAAATCATCCATTTAATAAAAAATCGATTTCTTGAAAGACTGTCAATAATAATATAAGGTAAAATTCTGAAGTCTTTTGTTTGGTGGTTTGTGACAGAAGCACCTGCTCAGATCTATGACTAGATCATCCTGAACTGCCATGCAAACCTGAAGGTCACAATTTACATAATAAATTCTGAAGCAGGCAAACGCATATTCATTTATTTATTTTTTTGCAAAGCTTCATGTCAGGAAAACTTTCACATTTTTCATTACATGCCTAGATAATTTTAATTTGAAACTAACGATTATTTCACGATTATCTTCCGTATTTGGAATTCGCGAATAAAAAATAATATAATTTAATTAACATACCCACTGGCTTTCGGTTGGCAGCTTGTTGAGGTCCTTTAGTTGTTGGACTCTCATTTGCGCTTTTGGCAACCTCAGGTGTACCCTTGGCTTTGTCTATTCAAAAATCAAAAATACATTATTTTTCTTCTTTAACTTCTTCCCTAGCAAAATCGGTCGACCTGTTATCGATTATTACTATTATTATTATTATTAAGTCTCAATTTTTCAACAATATTTGCTAAGTGCACAATGCTATCTCATTCCCCACAGAATGCTTTGGGATAAGCGACCGGGTATGCAGAAGATTCTCAACCAATCAGAAACTTCGTTTATGCGACGTAGAATAACAACGATTGTATTTAGTGACAAATGCTGAGGGCAATTTGCTAACATATGAACTAAGCACTTTCTGCGTTACACGCTCGGCTTCCACAATACTCATGAGGGAGTTTTGGGAATTTCGGAGCATTTTAATACTATAGAATTTTGCCTGAAATGATTGACAAGGTTTTGGTATGGTTTGTTGGTGTGACATCCGCTACATGGTTTGCATCCATATAGTTTCCTGGTGGGTGATTGATTACCTAACTTGATTAATTTGACAAATCTTTTCGCAATTTGCTGTGTAGGGGGGGGGCTACTTTCTACGTCTCGTGATATCCTATTTCATTAAGTTTGTGGAATTGGAGTTCGTCCACAAAAATCAACTCGAAAGGAAAAAAAACTTGTAAATGGCAAAACCTCGTTAAGCTTGCCTTTATAGAGCTGTTCTGTTGCATCTGGGGAAGCAGTATCGTTTGGATCTTGGGCATCCTCCTTTACCGCTTCTCGAGCGGCCTTAACTAAATTAAGTTAAAGGAAATGTGAGTTTAGAAGAACTTATCTATTTAACATATCTATTTAAAATAATATGCCAAGTACCTTTTTCAATATAGGCCTCTTCCGCCATCTTTGTGGCTTCTGGCGTGGTCATTTCCAAAACAGCAGCATGGGAAAAGGGAATAAATATCTGAACTGGCTTTCTAAGTTTGACAGGACTCCACACTACATGGATCTCACTTCCCAGTCTCAAATTAGGTCCCAACCAGGGGCATGCATAAGCCCTAATTGGAGGTGGTAAATAAGCTGAAATAAGACGATTCCTCGGTCCAATCATAGCACCCTGGGGAATCTCAACTCTTAAACCAGTCCAACTTAACACCAATCCACCTCTGCGTCTCACGAAGACTTCATTTCTCAGGTTAAATGAACTGAAATTTGCAAAAAATATCTCCAGACGATTCTAATTTTTTTTTCACTTGCAATATAGTGTCCACTGAGAAATGAACTTACTCATTCTTATTTTCACCGTTGATGAGAATTAGATTCGAGGTTGGTTTAGTGGTCTTCTCTCTCTTCGCCTTTTCCTCAAAGACCACTTGGTCCTCTGAGAACATTTTCCCCTTGGGATCACTCCTATTTCCGGGCTTTTTCGTGGTCTTCTTGCCACCACGCCGTTTCGAAACTCGTGGCCCGGACTTGGCGCCTGTCATTTTATCGATCGCGTGAACACCGCCATCTTTGCCATTAGTTTTGGTTCTTGGTCTTGCCTTCGTTGCTCGTCCCATTAACGATTAATTTGTGGGGTGTTCACAGAATGTGCCAATCGTGAGAAATGATGACCTTCGTTGCTAAGACTATTGTGTTTGTGTTAGTAGATGCATACGATGGCTGGACTTGTGTGATTTTGTGCCCATTCTATGACAGGAAAACCTGAATACATTGTTGAGCTGTTTTGAGTGATTCAATTTGCAAAATAGACCCTCCAATGGAATTTTCAATTTCCAGTAGTATTAATCAAGAACTACATTGTTCTGGGCTTGGCATTTCCGCCTTCCGGGGAACAATTCACTCCACAACGTTTTGTCCACCCAGTCCATCGACAAGTGAATTAAGAACACCATCTTTGGCGAGGCTCAATTTAAAATCAGTTCCCTTTGTGCCTCCAGACAGTGAACTCATGTATAAAAGCGCGTTTGAATAACTATATAGACAATCAGGGGTGTGCGGTAGATTAACCTCCCCGTGGCGCACCCTGAGCAACGTATACTCATAAGGCAAAGAAGTCTATTAACCGGAAGTTGACTTCTCTCTTCATACTATCATCACCCCATTGTATGCCACATTCGACCACTTCTACAGTACTCACCTCACCTTTTTTCTGCCTTTGTGTCTGTCTCTTTACACTTTTGAAACACTCTTCTGTTCCTCCCCCTCCCCTCTCGACGTTTTCTCACTTTGATATTCCTTCCCCTCTGTGAAGCCTGAAGTCAATTAAAGGCCCACTGATAATCATCCAAACGCCTGGCATTTGATATAAATAAATATAGACAATCAAGTACACATTTACTGAACATCCATCACAATACCTACCTCTAGGTCCAATTTCAAAAGCCTAGTTTCAGGTCTTCTTCTTAGTTCTTTTATGTAATGCTTCCCACACGTCTTATAAATAATTTTAACACAAAGACTTGTCAACCTTTCAAATGTCTATATCGATGACCAGTGCCTCACTAATTGCTCGAAATAAATCCCATATGGTAGAACTAGGTTGATCTAATTTATTCCTGACTCAATTCCTTGGCTGCAATTAACAAGCAGCTAAGCGTTAATGGACCCAGTAGAGACCGCCACTATTCAGTTGTCCAAGATCGACCAAATCTCAGGAGACACTACCTTCTAAATCCCACCAAGACTGTTAAAACCGATATCCAGACCAACTACCACAATATTTTTGTCACTTCAGTGATACTGAAAGGCGTAGTAGAATGCTAAGGAAATACAAGAAATGACTTTGAAGGAAGGGTTTGACCAGTCCGCTCAAATCGCTGCAAAATTCTAGAGAGATTAGGCGTTAGTCATCGATTCCGCAATGTCCTTTCTGATCCTTTAGTTCCTATAATTTGGTGACTGCAGCAGACCACTTCTGGACAACAAAATTGCAGCTGTAAAACCCTTACTCATTCTCTTAACTCGGTCAGCCCAATCCGGCAAGCCTACGTGCCGTGCTACCAGAGTAGACCTCCAGTTTAATTCTTTTGTGTAGGAACCCACTTCAAAAATGAGATCTTAACGACATGCAGATATCAGTCGAGCACCCCCCCCCCCATGATGACTACAAAGCTGCCTTATCGCAACAGGCTCAACCTTCAGAATGAGTTCGTGGTCTGCTACCTTCCCATTGCTGAAGAAGATGAGACGGCTTTCACCTAAAGAATGTTTTTACTAGAGATTTCTGGAAGATTTTCGACTTTAAAAACTTCTTGCGTATAAATAGCCTATCTTATGCAATGCAATCAAAATAAAATCGTCGGAGTCAGCCGCAGATAAAGCCTGCAGTATGCTCGAAAGGATTCCCTCTACATCACCTCCCTACCTCCAATTAAAAAAGAACTGACGGCAGTGTGGTAGGAGCAAATGCTAAGAGAGGATACAAAAATTTAGGTTCTGTTTCTCCGGAAAAAATCAGCCACGTAGTTGTCCGTTGAATAGACGCCGCCGTTCAATTTCCAGAAAGCGTTGTAGCAGACATGGTAATTCACCACAGAGCGTCGCCTGTCCAAGGTAACTTCAGGGCCAGTCGGGAAGCAGTGGCGGTAGATGTTGAACATTCAGATAGCCACCTTTTTCTTTTACGATCGAAACGCCTACGCGCATTATTTGATCGCTTTCAGAGTGAAGATCTCTGTGGTTCGTCCTACTCTAGCATTTCAAAACACGCCAATATACTTGCAGATCTCAACGGATTTACCATCAAAATATATAAAGAAATCCAAAATTCTCTATCTTGGGCTCAGCGCAACCTTTTGAAGAAATTGCATCTTTTTGGCGTTTCCAGACTAATTATTGGAACTGATATTCTCTGCCAAAGAATAGTTAATTGTTTCTATAATAGGCATTCACTCTAAGTGTGCCGAATAGGTACTCTTCTAACACCATTTTCATTACCAGTGTTTAGCCTTCTGATTTTTTCATTTAGCAATATCCTTTACAACATTCCTTGACCTCATCAACAATTTTTGTCCTGACAAACCTGTAATTCACACAAAATCCAGAATTTGGGCTATATTCTCCGGTTCACCAGTCACGTCAAAGCCATGGACAACATCGTCTTTGGTTGTCATGCAAGGACCGATATCAAAGCACTAACAAAAACCGTTTATTTCCATTCTCTTTGTGAAGCTCACAAGATCTATTCTAAGCTTCAAGAATTTCCGAGCCGTCCAACATCTATCCAGTTGAGAAATGCCCTATTTTAATAACGTGCCAGATTTCGAATGGTATAGCAAAGCCATAGGATTCCAAACCCCATCGAATCCCTTCATTATTTCCCATCTTGGTAAATAAGCAACAAAACTCGTTGTGGGCAGATTCGAATCGACGCTATTACATATTACCTACAAGATGATGATTCGGTCGAAAGTTTTATTCAAGATGAAAGCATCTCTAACAGCTCATTACAGATGCTTTTCACTTTATCTTCTTTGCAATACGAACAGCTATCAAGAATAATCGGATTTGTTCTGCAGTGGAAATGATTTTCGGGATTAACATTAAACTTCTTGGCCAATTTGTAGCCCCTTCAAATGATTCAGGTGTGATTCCAAGCAATTAGAAAAGTTGCAGTAACTCTATTCCCATTGGTTTCTAATATATTTTTATCTCTGAATTCGATTGCACAAATACCATACTGGCATTAACGCCCTGAAGCTTCCAACGGCTTACATTTCGGTTTATTTAAATACTGTTAAACGTTGTCTCCATTCTTAGGCATTCAAGGATTCTCTCGACAGATTATATAAAATTTATTGCAGGTACCAATTCCCAAGGTTAGTTTGATTGCTTCTCAGAATCAATACCGGAGGACAAAAAAGCTGACCTGAAAACATAGTCACTCTACTAAGGCTTCGCGTCGTGCTGGTTCAGACGTGATAATTTGCTCATTTTAAGATGAATCAGTTGTATTCAAGAGGAGATCTCGTTAGTGAATGTAGAAAAATTAAAGAAAGTCATTAAATGGTAATTAGCAGGACTCCATCCTAGCATACCTTTGAAAAATCCTGGTAGGAACGTGCTCATTTCAAAGGACATTATTACAATTGAATGGAATGTGGGGTCCACCTACCTTGAACTTCACCACTAACAGGAAAATAATCTGAGCGCCGCTGCTGACAGTGGCACCTTTCATTTTTCCAACCTTAAATTGCATGAATCTCAGCCATACAACACGAATATGGCGGTTTACCGAATTTAAAGGAGTCCTACATTGTGCCCTAAGTTCAAAAAAATAGTTTGCCCCAGAAAACTCCAATTTATTAGGTGTGCAAAGCCGTGTCCGTATTCAATATCTCCACTGACTTTGGGCAGTTTGAGGTCGACAATTTAGCAGCCCTTGGTGAAGGTTTCAACTTCACATATTTAAAGTACAGTATCAGGGGAAACATTTCCGTGAAGCCATGCACATTTAAAAAATGTCCTAAAACTTGAGTTTGTGTTGCTGAGATTAGATACATTTCAAATCCTTAACACCTTTCATTTGCAAAACAGGGTCAAATGTAAATGTTCGTTTATACAACAGATGGTACAGTACACTGTGGTGGGAGAAAAACAGTAATATAGTCGCTTAATAATAGACAAAGTCCCGAAGACGCAGAGATTTCACCACTCACATAACCTTGTAACGTCCGCGGTTCGTCAAACTGCTGCCCGATTGCTAAAACAAGAAGAATCGCATTTAGAATGCTCATGAGATGTACAATGCAAAGATTTTGATTGAGATCTTTGGAAAAACGGCTTACCCACAGGGTGAAAAAGATAAGAAAAGGCTCACTTAAGTCTCAAGCTCATGCAAACTGAATGAGTGAAATTCAAAAGTGGAAACTGTGAGGATATGTTGGAAGCAAATATTCAGCAAATTAACTACAGTTCTTTAGAACTTCAGAGTTGAATATCAGGGGAAACCATGGTGACCACCTAAAATAATTTCCTTAACACAACAAAGGTGGGACGAAGGTATTTAAAAGCCCATGATGGGGCAAACTAACACAAGTAACCTCGACGTACATCCTAAGACGGCGTTGCCTAGCCAGCTAAATATTTTTTAGCATTTTAAAGACAATTAAGTAATATAAGATAATCGACATAGTACTTACAGACCACATTGATACAAGATAATAATCATAATTGTTTTTAAAATGCAGACTAACAAGAGCAAAAAAGATAAAAAAGGCACGCCTTAAAAAGACCTACCAGTTTGATAAGCTCTTCCTTGATTATACGCATAATCTCTGTCTTGGCCATCTGAATGGAGCGTTCGTTGTTAGCCTCCAGACACAAGTAGAGGGGTCGCTCGTCAGCCGAATCAGCGGTACCTGGCGGCGGTCCCGATTTCCCGGGAGGAATATAGATACCACGAACTGAGACACCCACATCACAATACTCATTCAGATGGGTCAGCATCTCACGACCGGTGATGCGCCAACGCACATTCTGGGGAAAATCATTGATATCCAACTCCTCTTCGTATCTGTTATAAAGAGAAAACAATTTGCGATTCTGAAAACAATTATCACTTCCTACTATTAGAGAGGATGTCTATCAAACTGATAACTATACTCCATAAATCTGTCGAGAAGAAAGCAGTAGAGTGGAAGTTAGTGGTCATTTTTCTTTGGAGTAAAAAACGTCGCTAACTATTAGGTTGGCAACTAAGTCATTGCCGATTTCAAATAAGAAGGCAAATTCGGAATTTTTGTTTAAAAATATAACTTTATTCAATTAGATGTTGGCCGTTCTTGTCGATGACCTTTTTCCATCGTTCTGGCAGAATAAAAACTCCCCGTTCGTAAAATGTCTGGTCTTTGCTATTAAAAAACTCAATTAGATGTGATCCGACATCATCCGCGTTGTTACAAATTTTACCATTTAGAGTTTTGCATGGAACAAAACAAATGGTAATCCGAAGGCGCAAGGTCAGGGCTATATGGTGGGTGTGACAAAACATCTCAACGCAGTTCCAATAATTTTTGCCGAGTAACCAAAGATGTGTGTGGGGGGGGGGGCCTTGCGTTATCATGATGGAAAACAACACCCTTCCGCCGATTTGATAATGCCGGCCGCTTATCTTCAATTGCATCCTTCAGTTTTTCGAGTTCTTCAACATACACATTTGAATTTATCGTTTGGTTCTGCGGTATGAGTTCAAAATATAAAATTCCTTTGTGATCCCACCAGACTGACAGCATAATCTTTTTTTGGTGAATCTCTGCTTTTGATACTGTTTGGGCTGGTTGATCTTGCTTCACCCATGATCTCTTGCGAGTAACATTCTTATAAACTATCCACTTTTCGTCGCCAGTAACTAGGTTCTTCCTCGGAAATGGATCATTCTCATTGCGTTTCAGTAGCGGCGAATCACAGATGCTAATCCGTTGCGTCAAATGAATTTCCTTTAACTGGTGAGGGATCCATAAATCAAGTTTCTTGACATAACCAAGGATTTTTAATTTTTTTTCAATGCATGTATGCGAAACATTGAGCTTCTCTGCAATATCTCGTGTTGTGCTGACGATTTGAATCGATAATGGCCTTGATATGGGTTTCATCCACTTCGACTGGGCGGTCAGATCGTTGTGAATTTTTCAGTGAAAAATCCCCGCAACGAAATCTTTCAAACCGATTTCGACACTGCCTTTCTTTTAAGGCTTCATCTCCATATACGGCACATAACTTCTTCTTTTGTGCTTGCGATGCGTTCTTACCTTTTCGGAAGTAATACAATAAAATGTGTCGGAAGTGCACGTCCTGTTCTTTCATTTTTAAATTGGGATAAAAACAAAACTAAAGAACTAAACAAAAAAATTTTTTACTAATTAACCTAGAAGCCCATACATTAAGAAAAAAATATAGGTTAGATCCTCTGGCCACGTTAACAAAACAAAAGAAAGTATAGAGTGAATCCGTCAACAAAAACGGCAATGACTTAGTTGCCAACCCAATACTTCCATACCTCGTCACATGCGACCCTATTTGCTCAAATACAAAATTTGTGTAAAAAATATTCGAGAAATTTCCTATCTACGCTCTTTACTGGTTGTCGAACCCATACACATTCGTGAAGAAAGATCCCACCATTTCTGTAAGGCTAATGAGCAAGTGAGAACCAAGCTTTTTCAATACAGTATCTTTAACGAACAATTTGCATTAAGATTATTTGACAAACAAAAAAACAGTGATTCAACAGTTAAGCGCAACTCACCTTCTAACAAAATCACCAGAAGGAGCCCCAGAGTTGCCATTACCCTCGTCATCAGAGTCTGGGTTATTTGAAGACGACTTAGAGTAGCCCAATTTGGCATTCAAACGTTCAGCGGCCAATTCAGCAGCTGTTCTGCTGGCACTTGGCGTTGAACCAACTCCTGATTTCGCAATCGCAGACAAACCACCTCGCAGGGCTACTTGATTTGCTTTAAACCGAGCTAGCTCCAATTGGGCAGCGATCTTGGGATCCAAACTGAAAGAGAAAAGGAATACATTCATAAAAGATAGAGCTGTTTAGTTGTAGAAAGTGGACCCTTCTGAAGCAACGATACAACGACATTCCCACTAAGTAGATGTACGTTATTGTGGAATAACAGGCAAGCAAATCAGCGCACATAGTGTGCATAAAAAACATTCCTACTTATCCACAAAAATACGATTTCGTCTGATTTTCCGCTAAGCATAATACTGCAATTCAATCGATGAACAGTGTGAATTAATGGTCATTAATGAGCATTAAAATGGAGAACTGTATGCTCACTGCGACTACAATGGGATACTTTCATTCGGCATTTAATTCGCTCTGTAGAAAATACAATAAAAAAAATAAATTGGGCTATGATTTCAGCTCAGCATTAAAAACATAAATTCAGAACATTCAAAATAATACAATTAGTGTATTGTCATTAAATATTTGTGAACAGCATTAAGTGACAAAATAAACTAAAATGGGTTGAAAGCAATGCACAATTTGGAGTAGTATACTTACGGCTCATTAGAACTACCACCATCTCCACTCTGACCAACAATTGTGGATTTAGCAACGTCAATCACTTTGCGTTTGGAACTGAACATGTTCTCGATCTTACTGTCCCAATCGACACCAGTCTCGCCAGCTCCATCTCCTTCATCATCAGAATCCTCCAGTCCAAGAGCAGCTCGAGCAAAGCGTTTCTTGTCATTAGCCATTTGGGCTTCCACCTCGTCGAAACGGAAGCCTTTGCCACGGAAACCGGAGTTCCCACCGCTGTAGACCTTTTTGCCCTCCTGCAAAATGAAGAAAAAATAACCGTTTAGCCATTAATATACTAACAAGGACGCTACAATCCCAGATAGGACCGTGGGAGGTAATCAGTATGTCGATGTGAGTGTCGATAGCACACCGATTAGCGTTCACACTTGCTAGTAAGATCGACATAGCATCCAGTGATGTCGGTCACTATTGGCCCTACTGTCCAATAGTGATCAACAAGAGTGACTTTAGAATACGAGCGTCTCTTTAAAGAATTGATTCTACTCTCTATAACAAGGCGAACAGTTTCTCCTGCTCACTTCTGCCTAAACCGTTATTCGAAGAGCCCTAACTATTCTCCAGTCTAAACTTTAACCAGGCATATACCTAAAATTTCACTAAATAATAGAAGGCTGGATTAACTTACCATCATCATACGCTCCTTGTAAGCATTGAACATGAGGTAAAGATCCTCAGGAACCATCTGACCACTGACATTGAAAGCTTTAACCAAGTCCAAGGAGTTCTTCTCTTGATCTGGTGTGATAAATGTGTAGGCGGTACCCTTCTTGCCAGCACGACCTGTTCGACTGTTCAAAGAAAATAGTATTTAAGGTTAGTGTAAAAACTGCTCTAATGAAAAAACACTATAGTTTATCTTCCCTTCTTCTATATTGAGGTGCGTCAACAATAACATGGACAACAGATTGGGAAACCAGATTAGCGAAGCTCAAATAAGTAATAATCACAGTACCTAGGTGAGAACCTTAATGAATGCCTAGGAGTTACGACAAACCTGGCAAATAATTCAATTACTTCATGAATGTGTAAAAATAGCCAGGGCGACAAGCAGATGAAAGTTAAGACATTCAAAAAAGGCATTTTTTAAATACATAAACGAAACAAAACAACCTAAGCCTTAGCAGATTGAAGCCCAAGAAGTATGCCACACCATAATCTCTAATTTTAATGAAAATTGTCTAATAAAGCACAAAAACCATCTATTTTTCCACTCACCCACAACGGTGAACATAGTCTTCATAGTGATTAGGGCAATCGTAATTGACCACCAACACCAAATCATTGACATCCAAACCACGAGCAGCAACAGAAGTGGCAATGAGGAGACGAATGTTGCCCTTCTTGAAATCAGTGATGACAGAATCTCGATCGTATTGATCAATACCACCATGAAGTGAGAGACAAGGATAACCGTAATTCATGAGCACTCGCATCAGTTCATCAGCGCTCTCTTGTTTCTCTACAAACACAAGGACTGAACCCTCCTCTTGATAAACACCGAGGAGTTCCAGAAGTTTCATCACCTTTTCTTCCTCATTTTGAAGTACAGCCTAAAAAGAAAGGTGCATTCCAATTTTACTATTTATTTAGTCTATTGTAAGAATGTAGCTCGAAAAATCATATGATATGAGTTAATATCACACCATATCATGCTTAACTTGCAATTTGTTCCTGCATCCACAATGCATATATGATTCAATTTAAAAAAATCAGGAAATAAGATTTGGTTTGAATTGAGCATAAGAATTCAAAAATACGCAATAAAACTGTGCCAAACTATCCTATAAATCTGAAATTTTGCAAACAAAAAATAAAAAAAGGAAAATTCATTACCACTTTCTGAGTGACGTCAGAGCACACAACCGATCTGCCTCCAACCTGAATCTCAATCGGTGAAGTAAGCGCTTTTCTAGCCAACACTTCCATCTGTCTTGGAAAAGTAGCCGAAAACATGACAGTCTGTCTATCGGGTCTGCAATTGTCCACAATTCGCATCACTTGGGGCTCAAATCCCAGATCGAACATTCTGTCGGCCTCATCAAGCACAACATAAGTAGTGCGTCTCAAGTTAGTAACTCGGCCACCGTTAGCTGCCAGCATATCAATCATTCGACCAGGAGTGCATACAATGACCTCAGCACCACGTTTCAGATCTGCAATCTGTTCAGAAATTCCAGTACCTCCATAGACACATACACAACGGAAACCACAGGTTTGACCTAGCCGCTTAGCTTCTTTATATATCTGGAGCGCCAGTTCACGAGTTGGGGTTAACAGAAGGGCAATTGGGCCATCTCCGTTTTCTAGAGGTGCCTGATGTTCCAAATGACGAACCATGGGAACGAGGAAAGCGAGCGTTTTACCGCTCCCTGTTTTGGCGATGCCAATCATATCACGACCTGACATGATAACAGGCAGGGCTTGACATTGAATTGGTGTTGGTTTCTCAAATCCACTCCTGAAAGAGTTAAATTTAATTTAGATTTCTCAATGAAGCATAATGATCAACTTACCTCTTAAGACAGTTTAGTAGACGAGATGATACGCCCGCTTGGACCCATGTTTTGATAGGTTTAGGACAATCTTTGCCATTGCAATGAACATTCTCTAACTCTCGACGATACTGCTTGACCTGCTCTTTGGTCATTTTTGCGATTTCTGGAACCTCGACATAGAAGTTCTTTGTAAAAGGTTGGTAGTCAATCTTGCTGTGGTCAACCGCACCCAACTTCTCACGCTTTTGAAGTTGTGCAAGAGCATCTGCGATGGTTATACGTTCCTCTGGTTCAGGATACTAACAAGAAAGGTAAATTTATCACACGAAGTATTGAGTGTTCAAATTTAATTCTATATAAAGTATGGTGCCTTCTAAAGTATTCATGAGTAGTAAAGTTGTTTGAATTGAAGCTTTATTGAAATGAAAAAAAAATATACAAAAAGAAGTGCAAACCGAAAACCACTACAATATATTAAATGAGGAACTTTAAACTAAGTTGAAACCCACCTCAACTATGAACTATAACTAAAAAGGTCACTGAATATTAAAAACAAGGTAGGCAAAAGCTTAAATCAAAAGGAGTGTCAGTATTCCAATAATACTTTTACACAAACCACCAACCATAAAATTCGTGAACCTCCATTCCCTATTAAAGGACCCTCCTTTCCATCTCTTACTGATGTCTAATAATAACTGCTTGAGCCCATTTGAATAAGTGATCACGACACTTTACCTGGATAGCAGAGTAGTCAACTGTGGTAGAATTAATGAGTTACAAAGGTCATCTCGATCACTGGATGGACACTAGTTCCATATACTCTGACTAAGCAGACATGCATATTAGCCACTCCACCACCAGCATACACATGCCACCCAAAACTTTCCACTTCTTTTGATCACGTTATTAGAGCACAAAAATTGTTTTTTTTTCAAGGAACTTACATAGGACATATCTTCGTCCTGTTCATCTTCATCCAGTATTAGTTCACCTCTGCCAACCTTTTTCTGAGGTTTTGAAGGTTCTTGATTATCTGTGGATGAAACATTGCCTGATCCTAACTGAGGATTGACAACAAGTCCGGGAGCTTGGATAAGACCCGCAGGCGTTTGAACAAGTTGGGGTGGAGGGATAATGTCATCCACTTGCTGATGAGCCTCTTTGCTTACCTCCTTGGTATGAGAAAACAAGGCTTAGAATGGGTTGTGATTGAAAACTTATGTTCACTTAAGATAACGTTATTCTTTTAAGGTGATTGCTGTTAAAACTATGAGTTCCCAAAAAATGGAAATTCACTGCCCAAGTGAGTTGCCCATTTTGCATAAAACAACGAGTCTTCCATTTGCACATATTGAGGTTTTCTTCATTTTATCCCTATTACTTACAAGACAGGGGTCGTTTATGATCCATCTAAATATAAATTGTCACCTCACCACATCTGCCTCTCTCAAAACTTGTTTGAAGTGAAGCTCAGAGATTGCAAGGTCATTCCTCCAGACTTCTAATATGGTGCTATGATGTACTTGTCTTGCGAAAATATGTGCCAGTGTCTTGTCAAGAGAGATTGTAGTGAACCCATTGTCGTCATTTCAAAACAATCAAGCATATACTAAGTTGACAGCGATGCTTTACATTAGGTATAATCTATGCACTCTTATTTTTCCCTATTACCAATTGTCAATAAATAGTAGCGTTTAGAATAACCATTCGGTTTCAGCACCTTGCCCGAACCAAAGTGATAGTCAACGTACTCGTTAGTGCTAATGCGAATAATAGCAACACCTGTAATCTAACAATTTAACAATTTATTGCGTTAAAGATAGGAAGCATTAAAAACCCTTACTAAACTGTGTAATAAAACTAAAGATAGATGGAAGAATGTGTTTCCCTTTCCACTTAAGGTGATTGAAGGATTTATATGGGCATTGTAGGCGTGGCTAGTGTCCAATATATTGCTATTAATGACAAATAGGATTTAAGAAAACAAAGTAATGACCGAGCAATGTTACGAATTCTCCATAATCGGTCTTCGTGAATGAATAAGGGGGGAGAGGGGTTAAATACACATTTAATTGTTTCTAAGTGACAGGGTGTGCGATAGACTTACCTTCACTTGGTGCATCCTGGGCAACGTATATTCATACGGCAAAAAAGTCTATTAACTGGCAGTTGACTTCTCACTTCAAACTACCATCACCCCACTGTATGTCATTTCATTTCACAGTACTCACCTCACCTTTGTTCTACCTTTGTGTCTCTTACATCTTTGAAACACTCTTCTGTTCTCCCCTCCTCTCGATTTTTTTCACTTTGATGTTCCTTCCCCTCTGTGAAGCCTGAAGTCAACTAAGGGCTAATGATAAATATCATAAAGCCTGCCATTTGATATAAATAAATAAAAGTTTCTAAGTGACGGACCATAGATCATACCACATCATAATATGCACATTCAAATGGATCAAGCTAGTAAAGTACTCACCTGCATATAGGCGTCAAGAGGGTCGATTTCTTCCTCCTCTTCCTGTTTCTCTGTATCATTAGATGGAACCGATAGGTCATCTTTAACAGCGGAGGGAGGTGAGGGAATATCATCTTCATCATCGTCGTCCAGGGACCACTTCTTAACATTTCGCACTTTTATTCCGTCTAGGAGCTTGCTGTGGGCTGTCACTACGTCCTGCTTCAGTCGTCTCTCACGACGCTCACGCTCGACGCGCTCACGTCTCTAAAAAAAGAAAAATAAATGAAGATC